ATTTATATGTACATTTATTTACAATTTTTACATTATATAACTATTTTATTGTATAATTATTTGTGCACACATACGCACACACATTCTTGTATTTTTATATTTTTATAGAGAGAGATAGATAGATAGAGGATTTTATGAATATATACATTTATATTTAGCTATTATATTATATTATATTATATTATATTATATTCATTTTGTTCATTTGTTTCAGAGTAGCTAAGGTGAAACATCATCCTTGGCCTTTGGAAATTTTAATAACTAGCGTGATATATTGTTTGTACTTGATGAACTGTTTGGTCTCTGCTCACACAGGAGCGTGTGGTAGTGGAAAACAAGCACTGGTTGGTGGTGGTGCCGTATTGGGCGACTTGGCCATTTCAGACGCTTTAGACAACCAGGCCGTGCTGATGAGTGGTTTGCGATTGTAGCTCCGTGTAGCTTCGCTTTTCTGTTCAATCTCTATCTTACTATCACTCTCTGATGTTTAAAGTGATAAAATATATATATATATATATATATATATATACTTTTTTTGTGGCAATATGTAAATATGTGCCATATTATGTTGCAGTTAATGTTAGTCAAAATTATCCTGTGCTTGTGCGAATTTGAAAATAATGACTATTTATTCGTTCATTTGCTGAGTGGTTTGCGATTGTAGCTCCGTGTAGCTTCGCTTTTCTGTTCAATCTCTATCTTACTATCACTCTCTGATGTTTAAAGTGATAAAATATATAACTTAATTCCCACCATATTTCTGATATTATCTATCAAACTAATCTGACTAATGTGATCGTTCGCTTTTAATCTAAAACGGCGAGTGCAACGCGTGTGCAGCACGTTAGCATTTGTTAGCCGGTTAGCTTGTCATTTGCGTTTCTATTCGCCTTTCTATTCGCGTCTATTATTGTTTTCTTTTTTTTTCTCGCTCCATTTTTTTTCTCTCTCACTCCGTTTTTCACGAGTTCATCAAACAACAATGGTAAGTCTGAATCATTCATCAATCACGGTGAGTAAAGGCTTCTTCTCCTGCTGTTGTTTGCACTGCTTGCCACATGTATAGTTTATCTCTCTCTGTCGGCGACAAGGGATTCAGATGTGATAAATGCAGGGAAATAGTTAGGCTGACAGAGAAGATTTTAGAACTAGAGACACGCATCCAAACTTTAATTGAGGATAGTAAGAATGGTTTGATCAATGTGTCAAGTTTGTAATGACTATTTATTCGTTCATTTATTTATTTATTCTTTCATTAATTTATTCATTCTTAATAATTTAACTTTTCACCATTGACAGGTTTAGCAAAAGACAAGATTATAAATTAGTTTCATCAATAATTTCATTAAAGATCACTGAGGCACTCTTATCACAAAATAAATATATATTCGCCTTTCTATTCGCGTCTATTATTGTTTTCTTTTTTTTTCTCGCTCCATTTTTTTTCTCTCTCACTCCGTTTTTCACGAGTTCATCAAACAACAATGGTAAGTCTGAATTCATCAATCACGGTGAGTAATGGATTCTTCTCCTGCTATTGTTGTTTGCACTGCTTGCCACATGTATAGTTTATCTCTCTCTGTCGGCGACAAGGGATTCAGATGTGATAAATGCAGGGAAATAGTTAGGCTGACAGAGAAGATTTTAGAACTAGAGACACGCATCCAAACTTTAATTGAGGATAGTAAGAATGGGAGGGCTGTAGATTCGGCTTTGGATGCGCGACTAGCTCAGAGAGTCCTGTACATTGTTCGGTTCTGGTTACAGAGCCCGTGCAGCAGGGCGACTGGGTGACTGTGAGGCGGCATAGTCACGGGTCAAAACACCACTCTTCCGTTCCGATCAAAACATTAAACAGGTTCTCCCCACTCAGTGACGCACCCACTGAGAAACCTGATGAAAGTGCTCTAGTTATTGGAGATTCTATTGTACGGATCTTGGCAAATGTAAAAGTGCTGGTTAATGCTAAACGTAAATTCAGTAAGATTGTTATCCATGTCGGCACTAATGATGTTCGACTTCGCCAGTCGGAGATCACTAAAAATTATGTTAAAGAGGTGTGTGAACGCTGCGCTCGACACTATCAACCACAACATTCTTTTGAATAGACTAGAAAACTTTGTTGGCATTTGAGGAAGTGCATTAGCATGGTTCAAATCGTAATTATCTGACCGCCATCAATTCGTAGCAGTGAATGAAGAGGTATCATATCGATCACAATTGCAGTATGGAGTACCTCAAGGCTCAGTACTAGGGCCGTTACTTTTCACGCTTTACATGTTACCCTTGGGAGATATCATCAGGAAACACAATGTTAGCTTTCACTGTTATGCTGATTATACTCAGCTCGATATATTTCCTTGCGGCCCGGCGAAACATACCAATTTGAAAAACTAACGGAATGCATAGTCAATATAAAAAACTGTATGACGAGTAATTTCTTACTGCTAAATTCTGAAAAAAACAGAGGTGTTAATTATCAGATGAAAAGAGCAGAGTCAGATCCCCAGTGAGGACCTTGTCTCCTAGACGGCCATCGGGACAAGACCACGGGAACCATGGATCAACCTGCTGGTTCGTCTGACCAGAGGAGAACTGGCCCCCTGACTGAGCCTGGTTTCTCCCAAGGTTTTTTTCTCCATTCTGTCACAGATGGAGTTTTGGTTCCTTGCCGCTGTCGCCTCTGGCTTGCTTAGTTGGGGACAGTTAATTACCAGTGATATCATCTACTTGATTGCACAGATACTATTTAAACTGAACTTAGCTGGACGATGGCACCACTGAATTCAACGATGAACTGCCTTTAACTGAAAATTGAGTGTTTACTTTTGTCCTTCTGCATTATTGACACTATTTTCCTATTTGATACTGTAAAGCTGCTTTGACACAATCTGTATTGTAAAAAGCGCTATATAAATAAAGGTGACTTGACTATTCTATTATATTCTAATTCTATTCTATTCTATTCTATTCTATTCTATATTGACCTTTAATGAAAACATTTCATTTATTATTTAATTTATCTATTTACTTACTCATTTGTCAATGGTAAAAGCTTAATTATAAATGAATGAATGAATGAATGAATAAATAAATAAATTCAGAATTTCATTAAAGGTCACAGAGGCACTCTTATCATAAAACAATAAAATACATTAAAAATATATATTATGATTTATATGTACATTTATATATAAAATTTTTACATTATATAATTATTTTATTGTATAATTATTTGTGCACACATACACACACACAAACACACACACACACACATATGCACACATACATTCTTGTATTTTAATATTTTTAGAGAGAGAGAGGATTTTATGAATTGATATTATATTTATTATAAATGCATACATACATACATACTTTTAGGCGATCATTGGTCACATTTTGTTCTGCAGTACACGTGTGCATAAATCTCAATAGCACAAAAATAGCAAAATATATCACAGTTCAGCAAAATTGATTGTGTTACTTTTACTTTTGGCCGTGACTTTATAGTCATTCCATTTGGACTGAATTATAAGGATGTTTTTTCCCCTCACAGTCAAATTTATTTTTACGCTGTAAATTCTGTCAGTCACGAAGAGAGCCGCGGGAGAGAGCTCACATTTAGAAACTCCCTTTGATTCGCCGTCTGTGCTTAAAATTTCTGTCTGAACCTTTAAAGACACCTTGCTGTATCTCTACCTCACATCTGCTTTGACAAAATATCTTCTTAAAACCTCACGTCTCCTTGTCACATCGCCCAGTGCCCTTTTCCCGCATCGGACTAGATAAACACGTAGACACACACTCATACACACCTACACACTTCTCAGTTGTTATTAAAGTTGCCCTGTCAGTGCTAGAAAAAGTAAAGGAGAGGCTTTCGAAGCTGTGACACCAGATAAACATTCACCTCCTGGATACATGTCTCTCACGCTCGCAGGCTTAGTTCTGACAGACTTAATCCAGTATGTAAATAAACGTCAGGGAAATTACCGAGCAGGTCAGCCATTGTCAGAAAGAGCGGCGGGGAACCACACTAGATCACAACCCCGCTTTGAGCCTGCCAATTACAGAGGCCATCACCCAGACGACATTCTGACACTTTCAGACTCGAGGGATATTGTTTGTTTTTCTGATAAAGCGCTGTTTTGAATTGTAGTTTGAAGGCTTGATGACACATGTTGATGCTTTTGTGGAATCTTCTTTCTTTCGGGAATCTATCGACTTTTATGTTTGTGAGGATAATTAACCGAGCGCTAATCCAATTTCGTGGATAGGCTATACTGCTTCGAATCACAGAGCCAAATGCATAGTGTGCTGGAATGCTTGCAACAGACCAATTATGATCTAAAGAATGCTTGTCTTTTTAAATATTCATGAGCTTTATAGAAACTTTCACACACAGTGTTGACGTGAAATGCGCTAACCGGATTAGTAAAAAACCTGATCCACTTTAAAGCGCATTCTGGTCAATCTGACTGACATAAAAACAACTAACAGCAGTTCTTTCTTTCTTTCTTTCTTTTCTGAATTCATTGACACCACAATAATCTCTTAAATAAAAGAAGTGTGCTTAATAGTATTGAATGTGGACTTGTAGTGAACATTGATGTGGGTTGTAATTCATGAATGCTTTGAACCTAATGTTAGTCTCTTTTGAAGACCAGCAGATTATTGCTGAAGTGAAAACATTAAAAAAAGACAGTGTAGAGTTCTAGAAGTTCGAGTTTACTGTAAATAAAATGTACTGTACTAAAATATATAATTTTATATAAAATAAATATTTTACTAAATATTGTGGAATCTAAAGTTGTTATAAAATCGATGCCATATGTCGAAATTATGTTCCAAATTGGAAGTTGATATAAAAAAAATTGAGGTTCCTGTTAGATTTTGTTTTGGCGTTATTCCAAAAATAGCCAACGGATGACACCCAAACACCATTTTTTTAAATGCACTTTCCTGTCACAAATTTATACATTTTTGTCACAATATTACTTCCATCACAAAAACCGAATATGGAAAATTGAGACTCAAACCTTTTCAACAATATGTGTTTTGTCAAGATTATAAAAAGTTCTGTTCATAAAATATTGTAGTAAATTTTGTAATATGACACTTGACACCGCCCACTAGTGGGAGGAACCCGCAGAAAAGATTTAAGGTACCGTTTCCATGGTAACGCAATGTCTGATTTCAAAATAGTTTTTATAGGATGAATTTTAAGTGTTTAAGCTTTCAAATGATATCTAATTTAGGATGATTACTAAAATATGTGATAAGGAAAAAAAAGGCAATAAATGAAGAGTGACAGTTAACAGGTTAAAGTAGTTTAATAAACTGAACTTGCAGATAATACAATGTTAAAGAAATAAAAGACCACTTAAGTGTACTTTAAGCAAGTCCACTGCACTTTGTGAGAAATGTAAAATTAAAAGTTTGATGTTAAAGTACATTTTAAATCATTATGTTTTAATAATCTTTTGCCATGCTTTAAAGAAGTAGACTCTTTTTGATGTGTTGACTAGCATACTAAAGCACATGTAAAATACTTGATTATAATCTTAACGGTAGGGTGTTAATATTTTATTTTTGAATGTACTAAATTGCAACTTCAACATTACATGACATTAAAAATACATTTAAATACATGACATTAATACATTTTAAGTTACCATACATTCAACAGTAGCCTAAAGATTAACCATATTTCAAAGACAATATCATTATAAAATTACATAAAATATGTATTAATTCCTACTTAAGTGGGTCAAAAACGCACTCTGATGTTTAACTAATTGCATAAATTTAAACTACACACATTTTCATTGAATTGCACTTAACATGTGTCCAAAAACATTACATGCAGCTCACATGTTCTCAGAAGTCTATTATTGTATGTTCCAAACTTGAAGTTGATATCACAAAAATTGAGATTTTGTTTAGGCATTATTCCAAAAATAGCCATCGGATGACACTTTAACTCCACTGATTTTTTTTTTTTATGCATTTTTCTGTCACAAATTTATAACTTCAGCTCACATGTTCTTAGAACTCAATTATTTTAAAGTATATTGTTTTAGTAATAAGTGCTCTTATTAGTTGTATACTAAAGTGAACTACTTTTTCACAATGGAGATAAGTGTCTTCATCAGTGACACAGTAGTGATAATTCCCTTTGTGGGGTTCAAACTATAACGACTATTGCGTTCAACAGACTTTCCATAACGTCCGTAGACCTACATTTGATAACTCAGCCAATCCCTGTTGAAAATCCTTCATTTCAAATCCTCTAATGTATTTCATCATTTGCACTGAGACCATTTGCTCACTCTTTTTGATATATGCACATAAAAATGCATCAATCATGCAGATGAACAGTCTAATGTGTAATGTAGATGAAAATAGGCCTCATCAGCTCTTGTTTAACATGGAGATTGGGAAATTGTTTCGAATTGTCTGTGAGCTGTGACACTGTCCCATTGTTCCAGTCGAGGAGACTGCCTGAGGATCACAGACTTCCAGCCTAGCATGTAATCTATTTTATCGGCTGACAAACCAAACATTTCCCTGAATAAGTGCCAGAGCTCTCAGCAGTTTTTAGGCCAACTCTTTTCAGACCAAAAGGCTATATTTGAATGCATGTAACTCATTATTGCTTAGTTAGCACACGCTTTCTTATCCGAACTAACAAAGGGTGTTTTTACACTTGATTTGTTTTCGGAAAGTTGTTCACAAGAATTAGACTTACATGTGTACTCTGCAAATGAACTCGGGAGGTGGTCTAAATACATTTGGCTTTGTGCTTGCAACAATTTTGGGCATTACATGCTGCAGCAGATTACTGCAATCTGCCATACTTTACTAGGACTGTACAGCAACACTTATCTACTCTGACCTGAATTGGCTCTTAAAAATGTTGAATGTGCACTTGATTACATTGCATCTTTGGATATGCTTGGTTGTAACTCTAAATAACTGCTGCCACAATTGCTAGAAATTGCAGGTGGTTTGCAAAAGTGGCACTAGTATGTAGTGAATTCACCCCGCATTGTGAATGGAGAGTCTTTTTTCTATTTTCTAATCTATTTTTAATCTTTTTTTTTTTTTTTTTCCCAAAATTATTATTTTTTTTATTTAATGGTTAAATTAAATGTTAGTAATCGAAAAGCATGTCTACTTAATTGAAATAATGAAACTTTTACAATGTAACAACGTGTTAAAAGGTAAAACAATTAAAATGTATTCAATTGATTAAAATTACAATTTTAAAGCCCTTTAAAAATCCACCTTTCCATTTTTTATTTTTACACATTTTCCCCTCATTTTAATTCAATTCAAGTTTATTTGTATAGTGCTTTTCACGATACAAATCGTTGCAAAGCAACTTTACAGCAAATTAAGTTTCTACATTTGAACATTGCTGGATTCTGTTTTAATATATTTATTACATTTTAATAATAAAAAGTAGATCTGTTCAATTTAATTTAACCATTTAAATATGTATTTAAATTTTCACAAAAATAAAGCCCTATGAAATATTTTATCTTCTCAGAAATTAATTCAATACAAACCTATTATCAAAACAGTGCCCATTAAATGAAAGTATAAAACGATTGAATTAACCTTTTAAAATGTAATAAAATGAAAATTTAACAATTCCGTTTCATTTTTATGGCAAAAAAGTGCTGCACAACATATGTTTACTGTTAAAATGAATGGAAGAACAATTATGTAATATTCCTTAAATACAATTTTATTATTTTTATTATTTTGAGAAGTACTTTCTACTCTAAAACAGTAATATATTTAATATAATAATAATAATAATAATAAATTATTTAAAATAATTAAATAGCTCTTTTTGTGCTTTAATATTCACAGACACTAGCATGACAAAATCACCATATTGCAATTTGCTTAAGTGTACTGCACAATTTTTATATTTATTATTTCAAAATTCAAAATTCTGTGACATTCTGAGTTATACTATAAATTATTATTTTTTAAATTTTTATTCTATTTTCCATCTGGATTCTGCAAATCCATCTATGTTTTCCAAATTGCAGGTCACTGTTCACAACCGAAAATAACCAAAATGATCAGAGGTTTTTGAAGGGTTTAAACCTGTATCCTCTGGGTTGCAAGCAGAGATACAGAGATGTATCTACTTAGCCCATCATGCCATAAAGATGCAACTACCCAAAAGCAACATCTTGTAATAAATATAGTCATACTTTCTTTTAACTTGTTGGACCAAGGAGCGTTATGCTGTTTTTGGCTCAGCTGTTCCACTATCAAAGTTTATTAAATCTGAGCCCTGATTTTACTGTCATTATTTTTTAAATTACCAAGGCAGCTGTTGTTTTCCTGGGAAAAACAAGCTTGCATTCACCAGCATGTCTTGAAATCATGAATCACTCTTGAAGGACAAATGCAATTTACTGACTGGAGCGGTCAAAAGGTCTGAAACGATACGTGTTGTCATTTCATTTAGCGAGGGAGACGCAAACCATCCATCTTAGTTTTGGTGGCTCTGTGTGTGAGTCTAGTTTTGTTTGGCTGAAAAACAAAATGAATGCACCTCCTGGCCATGAAAGGCGCTCGGGTGAAGTGCATGGCGTCTGTAATGAAACCAGGCTGGATAAAACCCAAGCAATATTGGTGGAAAATTGAAGTCAGTTCTTCCCAGTTGAACCTTTTTTTATTGTTCACTCTCTTTCCTTTCCCACAGGTCTGGCATCCATAATGAAAAGACTCCTGACGAAATATGACAAACTCTTTGAGGTCTCCTTCCCCTATTCAATGGGATGGCACGGTAAGAGAATGCATCTGATATTGCAATCATAGAGGAGAAGTGGGGGGAAATCAGCAATGAGCCTTTTTCCCCACATATGGGAGGTGTTGCCACTCGTCTTGTTTCCATGGAGAAAAATAAAAAGGAGGCAGGGAAAGATGCTCCCTTTACTGCCCTCTGCTCAGTAACTTGTGGCATTGTCTTTGGTTCAGCGTTGCATGTCCACTGTGCAATGTGGTTCGAGAATGGATGTTAAAATGACTCGTGGCCTCAAGTAAAACTGTCGAGGTGTTTTAGGCAAATTGCTTGCGGATTAAGCTCTCTGATGCCTCTTTACTCAATGCTGCAAAAATGCTTTAAATATTTTTCCTTGATAATGGGAAACGCGGGCGTGACTCATCAGGTTGATGAATTATTCATGAGCAATATTACTCTCTGGGTGATGTTGTGTCTGTTGTGTGCTCTTCTTAAAACGCTGCTGTGAATGTAAACTCAGGGGTGTGGCTGAACTACACATACTGAAGAAATAGATAGATAGATTAATTTGACAGACAGACAGACCGATAGACAGACAGACAGTAGTCAGATAGATAGATAGACAGACAGATAGAAAGAAAGAAAGTTGATTGACAGACAGACAGATAGATAGATAGATAGATAGATAGACAGACAGACAGACAGACAGACGATGATAGATAGACAGACAGACAGACGATGATAGATAGATAGACAGACAGACAGACAGACAGATAGTAGTTAGACGGATAGACATATAGATGATAGATAGAAAGAAAGAAAGACAGTTGATTGACAGTTTGACAGACAGATAGACAGACAGACAGACAGTAGTCAGATAGATAGATAGATAGATAGACAGACAGATAGAAAGAAAGAAAGAAAGTTGATTGACAGACAGACAGACAGACATATAGATAGACAGACAGACAGACGATAGACAGACAGACAGACATACAGACGATGATAGACAGACAGACAGACAGATAGATAGATAGATAGATAGATAGATAGAAAGAAAGTTGATTGACAGACAGACAGATAGATAGATAGATAGATAGACAGACAGACAGACAGATAGACATATAGATGATAAATAGAAAGAAAGAAAGAAAGAAAGAAAGACAGTTGATTGACAGTTTGACAGACAGATAGACAGACAGACAGACATACAGTAGTCAGATAGATAGATAGATAGACAGACAGACAGACAGACAGACAGACAGCTGATAGATAGATAGACAGACAGACAGACGTTGATAGACAGACAGACAGACAGACAGACAGACAGATAGATAGATAGATAGATAGACAGACAGACAGACAGACAGACAGACAGACAGATAGTAGTTAGACGGATAGACATATAGATGATAGATAGAAAGAAAGAAAGAAAGAAAGAAAGAAAGAAAGAAAGAGTTGATTGACAGTTTGACAGACAGATAGACAGACAGACAGACATACAGTAGTCAGATAGATAGATAGATAGATAGACAGACATACAGACAGACAGACAGATAGATAGATAGATAGATAGATAGATAGATAGACATAATTAGAATAGATTGACAGACAAACAGATAGTTCGACTTTTGTTTATGAAATACAAATACATAAATAATCACTGGGTTAACTATCCATATATTGTTATAAATCTGAATATATAAATATTAATTATTGACGGACAGCTGAAAATTGTGAAAACTGGAATATGTAGTCATCAGTCAGAATATAAGTACACCGCATTTATATTCTCTTCGTGCCACACACGCTCACTGTCAAAGAGCCACTCGTGGTGAAGCATCGCTGCAAGCCTGTAGAAGCAATGATAGCAGAGAGTGATTGACACCTTATGCTGCGCTCTAGAACCTGGATGCCCTTCTCAGCGCCGCGGCCGAGGGTCTGCCACGGGACACGGTGCAGAGCCCGATTTCATCTCCAATCTTGTTATGGCCTCCTCAGCCGAGCGATCCCTGCACACTCAGATGATTCTCATAGTCTGTCAATGGCAGCTTTAGTGTCGGACCACAAATCTGACACCTGTCACCAGTAAGCAAAATCTCTGACCTATTGCAATGCATGGCATAGCGCCGAGCCTTTCCCAGCATGCTCTGCCTGGAACTGACTCAGCCACCGTCGGTTTCCATGGAACAACTTAATGAAACTGATTCTCTGCCATCTTCTCTTGCGCCTCCATGTATTGTAACGTACACTTAATGCCCACGATGTTCATTATTTGATGATGATATAATCACCGGCACTCTGCTGGATTGATTACATCACTGACGTGCCCGGCTGTTGTTTTACCCAGCGTGCATCAGCAGCGAGAGCATCCATCATGTAAATGATTCATTCGCTTCATTCGGCTCGCATTTGCCAAGCGTTCACGAGCTTCCACCGCGCTGTTACAATTAGCGATGTGCAAATTTAAAAGGGAAGAGAGATAACGAGATGCTTCTGCCATCAGTGTATATGTAAAAGGACTTTGTTAATACGGTCTGAGACCTCACACACAGGACCATTCATTTAATGTGCAGTTTGACAACCTTTTGCTGTGCTAGAAATATGAAGCACATTAGTGTTAGAGAGTCTGAATTTAGGCTTTTAATTCAAATGTTTCTGCAAAAAAATTCTGCGGTTTAGCAGGAAAATAGTGTGAGAAGAAGGAAAAGCTCAGGTAATGACTAGCTTGAGTTTGTTCTGATTAACACCTTGGCACTGAACTACACATTTTTATGTTTAATGTCATACCAAAAAATATTATTTCTGCTTCTGGATGTTTTGTTATTTTTCTCCCTACTTTTTAACATCATCGTTTGCTCCATTTTAAAGAGATTTTAATTTTATTGTTATAAGTTTGTCCCAGCGCCTCACTTTCAGTCTTAAAATATGAAAATGTGTCATAAAAATATGAAGTGCTACAAATTAAAACTTAACTATTACTAACTAACTATTATTATTACTAACAACAATAATGTAAACAAAAAGTGAAACAAATATTAACTGTTAATAATGTAGTGTGTTGCATCATTCAGTTATGGTGTCATTTCCATAAATAATGATTCAGATGTGTACATTTACATGCATTCAATATGAAATCAAAATAATCTATTACGTTTTACTTAATGACATTTTAAATGACATTTTTAGAATCATTAAATGATGAAAATTATATACTGCACACTACTATTTATAATTTTAGGGCCAGTGAAATTGTATTAATGTTTTTGAAAATGTCTTCTGCTCACCAAGGCTGCATTTAATTGATCAAAAATACAGTAACTTTATGAACTATTATTACAACTTAAAATAACTTGTTTCTATTGTAATATATTGTTAAATTTTAATTGATTCCTGTGATATAAAGCTGACTTTTCAGCATCATTACTCCAGTCGTCGGTGTCATATGATCCTTCAGAAATGATTTTTAATATGCTGATTTGCTGCTCAAGAAACATTTCTGATTATTATTGTTAGTTGAAAATAGCTGTGCTGCTTAATTAAGTGTAAAACAGCTTTTGAAGAACAGCTTTTATTTAAAAAGAAATATTTTGTAATGTTATACATGTCTTTACTGTCATTTTTGATCAGTTTTTCTGATAAATAAATTAATTAAAAAAGATACAATTGAAAAAAAATTAACTTAAATGATTTTAGCAAATGGCTGCAATATAACAAAGAGTGAAAAATTTAAGGGGGTCTGAATACTTTCCGTACCCACTGTATTTTCAACTAGATGTTTAATTTATTTTCTTTTTTTTCCCCGGTTGTAATGGACACATATGGAGACCTTTTTACTAGACAAATAAACTAAAGTGAGAGTGAAATTATGTTTTATGTATTAAGACATTTTATTTTCTACAAGTCCACAGGGTTAAAAGTGGTTTATAGTTGAAGAAACACTCTTATACAGTTCAGACTCCACTGAGATCTTCCTCTCGGCCACAGCTGCTAAACTCCCTGAAGAACAGTTATCCTCAGCTATTCATTATATCGTTTTTATATGAGTCTAGAATACAATCCAACATCTCCACATACACATTATGGCCGTATCTGCTTATAGCTTTGTATTAAATGCCCAAATAATAGTATGACAGGCAGTGAATGAAGCTTCAGATAGTGAGCAGTTCCAGTCCTGGGTGAGAACATTACTGTTATTCTTTCATAGAGGAAAAAGCATCTCTTTTCTCTTTAATATATGTGTGCACAGGTTTTCCTTCACCCAGGTCATTGTAGGCGTCTTTGTGAATTGATTGAAAAGCATCTGGACATGGTTTATTCGAACGGATAAACCAAGTCCAGATGCTTTTGACTGAATTCGCCCAGACGTTTCCTAATGTGGCTGTTGCGTACAAAAAAGACCCTTCTTGTCCTGCTCTCCCATTTATGTTTCATTGACCCATATCATTTGTTATGAATAATGAATGCTAACCTTTTCAGTTGAAAAAAACATAGAAAGGCATCCAAATGAAGTCCATTCAAAGTCTGAATTCACCTTTGTATTACACACTGAAAAATGCACTGAGAGCTTCACTTGAGTTAATAGATTTTAGTAGTGTTTACTAAGATAAACTTCACTAGTGTTATTGCTCAGACTAAAGTAAGTGCACTTCAAAAAATGAACTCCTTCCCTTCCAACCTTTCCTGAAGTCCTATTGGCCCACGCCAGTCCAAATGACTGGCCAGTTGTCGCAAAGTATGCAAATCGCATGCAAATACTGACGCGCTCGAGAGGCAGTATAAAAGGCGGTGCACGCGACAATTAAGTCAGAATCTGATACTGAACGCCGCTTAGCTGGTCGAGCAGCGAACACGGCGACCTCCGTGATGTCTCGTTTCCGCTCTCAGGGAACCGAGGTTACGATAGTAACCGGAGACGTTCCCTCTCGAGCTTTCACGAGACATCACGGAGACATTTCTCCGTTATGGGAACGATATTCAATCCCGCCGTGAGAGAGGCTACGAGCAGCCTGTACAAGTCACATACTCAGCGAAGATAGAACACA